CTCAAGACCGTTTTGCCGTTCTGAGAGAAATCTTTCCCTATGAGTTCAGGGTCCCCAGGGCTTTCCATGCCAAAGAAGACAGAACTTCCATTGATGACTTCAGCAGTTCCACACCTTGAATGCACCGCCACGTCATATAGGAAAAGCATCTTCAGAAGTAAAACACCATCCTTTTGAGCTAATTCTTGATGTGGCCAAGGAAGACTCTTTAATCCCAACCGTTCAGGCCCACAGCGCCGGCGTAATACAGGTGGACCACCGTCTTCACCTCTCAACCTTGACACTGTCCTGCATGGAGGTCCTCCAACCACAGCAACCACCTTTCCTTCAGCCGCCAGATGCAGAAGATACTTCCAGACGCTCGAATTATGTAGGTCACCGCCTTTTGTCAAATCCAGCTCCAGTACCTCCACATCCCGACTGGGAAAATGCCATTTTTGTTTTCCCGAAAATAGGTGTACCACCACCCTTTTTGCTCGTGCCAGCCGTCTCCTTTTATGACGGTTGAAAGGCAACGCCGCAATATCTCCACGTGGCAACAGCTCCATCAGCATATTTTCTGGTATATCCCCATAATACCACCGAAGAAATCTCCAGCATGCCTGGACGAACTCCTCCTCATTCGCTGACGCTGTCCGCGCTGCGCTTTGCAACGACGTTTTTACAGCCACCTCGTTGTCCGTATTCGGACACCCTTGAACCATACGTGCCACCTTCAAAGCTTGCTTTGGGGAGCACCAATCCATTTCATCAATGATCTGAAGCGCCACCTCCTTTTCTAAACAAGGGCACCCATTCAGATCACGAACGCGAAGTTCCCCCAGAACAGGATGTGAGGCTGTGCACTTGCCACCACGCCACTGAACTCTGAGACCAACCAAGGCGCTCGCTTTGCCAATTGGCACTAGTGGATCTACCATTTCAGGAGTTACCAGGGTCCCACCTGGGGTAATACACATCTCCCGAGATCCAACAGCTAAAGACACCAACACCTTTTGCTGCGGAAGCTGTTCTCCAGGACGAAGTGATCTGAGAGGATGTGATGCTCCCGAGTCCAACATGCCCATTCCCGAACACTCATTGGTGTCAGAAACCCTGGCCACATGTAGAACGCATACTCCTCGGCCTTCTCCCTGCTTCGGCAACAACGTGGCATCCGACGAACCGACTCCACAGTCCGCCCTTCCATTCCTCCATTGAGAATGGGACCAAGATACACGCTGCCCTTCAGCATGCAAAACCATTTTTTCAGCTGTTTTGTAATCCATAACCAAACAGCCATGTTCAAACCACAAGAGCTGGTCCAGCGAAGATTTTGCCCCCACGTGACACATCCCATTGATCACAGTGAGGTTCGCCCCAAACTCCAAAATCAACCAGAGAGGGATAATCAGGGGCCCATTGTCTTCCCTAATCAACGTCCCTTTCTCTGTAATCCTCATTGTCACACCACCAAGCGCGCTTTGCACCATAACAGTAGTGTCTGGTAAACATTCCCATGGAAAAAGCGTCCGCACAAGATGCGTAGCAGCTGTATCCACCAACGCCACTCTCCCTTCCTGCTGAAGCAGCCCAGAGCCACATAACATTCGAATACTGGGATCCCCGTTTGATGCCGACTGTTCTGATGACAGCTTCATAGATTTCAGCACCTCTAACGCTTCAACAAGGACCTGATTGGCCGTTGATGGCGATGAGGGACTTGCAGAACCTTTATCCAATCCCGCATTAGCCGTCTCATCTCCCCCTTCAGCTACCTCTGCCTTTTTGGCATTTCCCCATTTCGCACCTTTGCCGCCCTTTCCCCCTTTGGGAGAATTCCCTTTAGATCTACTCCTCTCAGGATTTGAGTCCACATTGGAACTTGCACCATCCTTATATGGACATTGCGGCTGCAGATGGCCAACGGCCCCACACTCAAAACATCTTCCTCGTTCAAGGGAGTCTTTGTCATGGAATTTGCAGCGGGATCCGAACTTGCACCCCGCATCGGTCTTCCCATATATCCAACAGAAAGGACGTTCACCATCTCCGCTGTACCTTTTTCCTTTCCCTTTGCCTTTGTCACCCTCCTCTGTCTCGTCACCAGTTCCCTTTTGGGCCTTGTTTAACCTGGCCCTTTTCTTGGCGTCCGAGTCCTGCTTCACCTCTTGTTCACCAGCACTATGCAATAGCAGTTCAAACTCTGCCTGTAACATTTCAGCTAGTTTTGTCGCAGTTTCAGAGGTCGGCGAGTAGTCCACCCCCAATTTCTCCCGAAAGGATGCCACTCTGAAATGAACCGTAGGGTGTTTCGCCAGCAACGCGGATGACAAACCATCCAATCCCTTGATAAGCAAGGTAGCGTCCGGCTCAGCCGCTCTCAACTCCCTCAATCGGGAACGCCATTGCGCCCATTGACGCACTCCCTTTATGGCCTCTGAGATCGAGGTTGCTGGAGATGGTTGCACCAAGAAGTTCAACATTGTGCTGCGCTCATTTGCTCCACCTGGTTGGTAGACCGTCAGCAATTTGTAAAATATCATCACTGACCCCAACATTCGAGTGGAAACGATCTCGGTCTTCAATCTCTCCGGGATCGCCTGTAGCAGCAAAGACACCGCTCTCTGCTCCAACAAAACATGCACAGTTTGAACCACTTTGAGCCCTTCCAGCTCAGCCTTGATGCCCAACCTTTCCAGCGGAGAAACACTCAACCATTTGGCATACGCTTGATATGCCTTTGAGTAGACGCATTGCCACCACACTCTTCCTGTATCTGTCAGTGAAGACAACATTGGTTCGATCATTGCGATCCAATCACCCAGTGCCGTCGGATTGCTTGGTGTGTAGTCTGCCAAAGTTGGAAGGCTCATCACATGCTTCCCGAGAGCCTCCGGACGTTCGGTTCCAGAACTATCACCAGTGATTGGCATACCACGTGGCACCACTGCTCCAGGAGGTAAACTGACCCTACCACCAGGCCCTTGAGGTAGTCCATGTCCTATACCGGGCGCAACAGCTGTGAGCGGAACCTTTTCTAATTCCAACTTCCCAGCGACCATTTTCCACCGATACGGAACATCATCCACCATTGTATATCCACCCGATCCTGCTGAGTTCTCTTGCGTTGCAGTTTCCCGAGCTGAAACAAAACCGGGCTGGTTCCCCACAGGTGCGGCAGAACCATCAACACCTGACGGCACGGAAGTAATCGGAACATGTGTTAAACCAGGTGGTCCACTTGCATATCCACCACTTGCAGGACCTCCCGTGGGGTAATTCAATGGAGGCAATCTGGAGGGTTTCTTCCCTTCAGCTACATGCATCATTGGCACTTCTTTTTCATCCTCCACTTGAACATCCCCCTTCCTGGACCCAGGCAAGGATTGAAGATCACAACCCTTTGGCAGGTCGTAGCCCTCAATAGGCAGCCATGTCCCATCAGGCAACACAGTCCAAAAACCACCCATACCATCCGTGTAGAAAACTTGTCCTGGCAGGTACTGCTTCTCTGGAGTCATTCCTAGAGGATATGCCGTGTTTGCGTCCACCACTCCAGAGCTCCGTGCCCTTGAAGCTGACCCAGATGCAGCAGAGGTATAGCTTTTCTCCTCCACCCGATGCAACCTGTTCCCCAGCTCCTTTGTCTGCACAAGCAACTCTTTCAGCGCACGCTTCACCACCGCCATATCTTCAGTTTGCTCTTCACCACTAACATCAGGAATGAGTTCTTCGTCGGCTTGCACTCCACCAATAGTACCTCGTTCCATTTGGCCCATTAAGCCTGACGATGGTCTCTCAACAGGTGCAGGTTCCTGACCCAAAAGATCTTGCAGCGAAGGTGGCCTCCTCGTACCTTCACCACTTCTATCCCCTCCGCTCGCGGGAAGACTTGCCGGCCTTGATTGCCTAAGTCTCATTTCTTCTTGAGCCCGCTCGCTCCAGAAAGGATTTGCTGCTTGAACCGGAACCACTTCGTTTTCCACCTGAGGCGTTGGCTGTATCATTGCAACCTCCCTACCATCTGTCAGCGCTTGTACCATTTGTTGTCGATCTTCACCCCCACCACCACGATTTCCTTCGGCTTCATTGGCCGTTGGCGACAGTCCAGGCTCAGAGCGACGCCGCATCATGTCCATGGCGTTAAACAAACGAAAAATCTTTACCAATTCCGCAGGAAGCCAAATTTGGGCTCATAACCTACGGGGGGCAACCGAAGGAGGACAGGGAACAAAACAGTCAGCCCCAACAGAAGCCCTTGATTCCCCTGGAACAACCGAAGACAAAACCCAAAGCACAACCAAACACACCTTTTCCGTAGGGCGCATTGTCCACGTTTCTTGAGCCTTGAGCCAAAAATATCCGGGTTCATTGACCCCTTCAACTCCCATCACCAACTCTTTTCTACAATACCAGTTGCAGCTCCGCATAGGGTTTAGGGTTCCCCCCCACCCGCCGCCTCCGCCCCCCCAGAAAACTTGGTGGCCGAAAGAGGACAGAAAGGTTGCACTTTACCTTTAAGCCCCTGCTTACCCCGGGAGCCCTTTTGGCAAATCCCTCCAACCCTCAACCCGAAGCATCCCGAAACTCCCTCAAATCAAACAGCCCCAACATCGCTGCCAAAGGCAGAGGCAGGCCAGGGGCCAAGGCCAGTTTCCGAGATCTGGCACTGATCTGAAGAGGCTGTGGCATCTCCTGCTAGCATGGGAGGGTCGTTAACCCTCGGCCAAAACCCCACAGATAGGGGATGGGGCTTACTTCCTTTTGGGTGGGGGGATGGGACCGGTTTTGTAGGGGGAATTTGAGGTGCTGGTTGGGGTTTTGGTTTGAGGTCTTGGTTGCAGGAAGTGACTGAAGAGCTTCAGGATCTCCACGCTTGCAGGGTTCAGGGTTTAGGCTGCACATGCTTTAGAGGATCCTCTGTACGGCAACCCTGTGGGAGCTGGTGACATAATGCAAGAACGTGCCCTAAACCATTTTGCTTCCACTTCCCCAAGCCCGGAACCCCGAACTCGAGCTTAGCTGGCCCCACTGAAGCTTGGGGCACCATTTTCTCTTCCGCGCGCCTGACTAAAGTCCAAGAACCAGCATTCGTAGACGCCATCGACTGCGTCAGCAACGCCTTCAGTAATCCACTGTTCATTCGCATCGATGGCTGAGACATCCACGGCGCGAAGCCCTATATTTCTATTGCGGCACAAATCTTTGAAGTACTCGGTGCCCTTTCTTGCCACGTTCTGCACCAACACAGCCTGCGGAGCTGCTTGTTGCATGACGTCGAGCAGGTCTTCAAACAGGTGAGGCTCGTAGAGTATGTCGCTCCCGATCACAATGTCAAACCTTGGCGCAGGGTCCTGCAAGCCGTGCGTCCAGTCCACTTCCAGGGCCTCCACGTGCCCACCGCCAGCAGCGATTGGCTCAGCATTTATCCGAACATTGTAAACCTGTCTGCTTGCTTCGGCGCTAACCAACGCAGCATGTGTTCGACTTGGCTTAGAACAATTAGCCTGGCCTGGTTGGGCACAGGCCGCCACTGGGAACCCCAAACCCCCATCCACCAAAGCTGGAAAAGCAACGAAAAGGTTGCCAATGACACGGCTCAGCGACCAGATTGTCCCAGGTCAAGGCGGCTCCGTCGTATGCCGTCCGCGTCTCAGAGACCACCACCTCCAGCCTGGTTTCGCAACTGGTCTTCAATCTGCAGTTTCTGAAAAGGCTTCCCGGCTCTTAGTGGGAAATTCGGGAACTAGCTAAGGGGACATAAGGTGCCTCTTTCCCTCCCTCCCTAGTAAGAGCTAGTTTGATTGGGGTTTAGAGAGGAATGCCCAGAAACGACCGTGGGTCACGGTCAGAACAGTGAAACAAAACATGTCATATGCAAGTGTCTGCATCACACAACATGCAACTATGTAACAATTTGAATTTGAATCACATCGCGTCATATCTCACACGCCTCTGCGGCTTGGCAAACTGCTGCCACAAATTGCACATTGTACACGATCTGTCTGGCTGTATTTACGGCGGCATGCGTGTTGAAAAGGGTTCGCAAACACAAGATTGGGGCTGTGCCAACTCGGGATCTCCACCTTCGTCTCAAGGAAGTATGCGCGGAGCATTCAAGCAACGCGTGGTTCAATGTGTCTGGGCCACGTGTGCAAAAACGGAATGAAAGGGATCCCATGTTTGAATGGCGTGCTGCGCGTCCATCGCTGAAACAGTGATGGCCACACCGAGCCAATCCCCAAAACCGCGCAGAGACAGGAGAAAGATGCCGGCTATAGACTATAGGGTGTAGGAGCGGCCAAGGCTGCAGTTCAGCATACAAGGTGAGCGACTCTGTAGCACGCAGTGCCACCGAGTACAGGGCATGCGACTGCTGGCTGATCACCATTTTCACATGCCGTAGCCAGCGCTTCACGACAGATGAAGCTGTGCCCGGCCCAATCCCCCAAGTGGCTGGATGAGCTACTCCTATTGACATCAATTCATTTGCTGCGGCGTTTATGAACGAGAACTCGACATTGCTCGCAAACTGAGCCATTCGTGCAGCCAAGCATTTGCCAGACAAACAAGCAAGACGAGCCCAAAGGCCAGCAAGTCGAAGGAGTCGTATACAGTTAACACCCAACCAACCTAGTTCACCCTGAACAGCTGCAGTTGGGGCCCCACGAGGCCAAGTGAGCAGCCGTTTGCCCCATGGTACCATGCGGACATCGATGCGTCGCAGCTGCGTGGCGGTATTGATAAATTCCAACCCAAAGCAAGCTGATGGGGCAACATAACTTTGGAAAATGCGTTCAGTAAAGGAAATGGGCAAATGTTCCGATGAAGCTGATGTCCAAGAAATACACGCTGCAAATCGACTTTCACCACGAGCTAATAGCTGGTCTGCATGCTTCTTCCAACTCAGATTTTGCTGCAAAACACCCTAAACCCTAAACCCTAAGTTTAGGGTTTAGGACTTAGGGCTTAGGGCTCAAAACAAGGGGCGCATGGTCGGCTGCAAGCAGCAAGCCCACCAGGCCCACGCCGGCGCCCAGCTCGAGTACACGAGACACGCCGCTGAAACCTCCGCCGGGCTGGTTTAGGGTTTTGGGGTTTAGGGTGTTGGGGTTTAGGGTTTTAGGGTTTAGGCCTTTAAGGTTTAGGGCTTTAGGGTTCAGGGTTTTAGGCTTTGGGGTGTAGGGTTTAGGGTTCTACTGTTCTTGGATGTTGGGGATGATTGAACATCTGTCATGTTATGAACTGTGGGCAGACATTTACATACATTTTTTGCATCCAGGTCTCACGCACATACGTTAAGCATGGAAAGGCACACACACACATTGCAATAATATACATATATATATATATAGATATATACATATGTGTATATATATATATGAAAGAGCAACCTTTCGGGTCTATTTAACCTCTCTTCTTTTCTATTTAACTGATAATTATTTAAATAATTTAAATTATTTGAATAATTTAAATAAAAACTACAACCCATTTAATTATTTAAATAAGTCGGGTGATTTAAATAATTTAAATGATTTAATTGAGACCAATTAAATTCTTTAAATTATTTAAATAGTTGAAAGAGGCCCGGGGATTGAAATAATTTAAATAATTTAATTCAGGCGAATTAAATTATTTAAATTGTTTAAATTGATTAAGGAGGCCGGTGGATTTAAATAATTTAAATAATTTAATTCCGCGCAATTAAATTATTTAAATTATTTAAATTATTTAAATTATTTAAAGAGGCCGGAGGATTTAAATAATTTAAATAATTTAATTCGGCCCAATTAAATTATTTAAATTATTTAAATTATTTAAATTATTTAAATTATTTAAATTATTTAAATTATTTTAATGCTCCCAAATCCAGGCTGCGGGCCGGAGTCGCCTGAGGCCGAATTTCCGACCATTTAAATTATTTAAAAAATTTAAATAATTTAAATAATTTAAATAATTTAATTCCGGCCAATTAAATTATTTAAATTATTTAAATTATTTAAGGAGGCAGGGGGATTTAAATAATTTAAACAATTTAATTCAGGCCAATTAAATTATTTAAATTATTTAAATTATTTAAATTATTTAGAGAGGCCGGGGGATTTAAATAATTTAAACAATTTAATTCGGCCCAATTAAATTATTTAAATTATTTAAATTATTTAAATTATTTACATTATTTAAATAAATTATTTAAATTATTTAAATGCTCCCAAATCCAGGCTCCGGGCCGGAGTCGCCTGAGGCCGAATTTCCGACCATTTAAATTATTTAAATAATTTAAATAATTTAAATAATTTAAATAATTTAAATATTTTAATTCAGGCCAATTAAATTATTTAAGTTATTTAAATTATTTACATTATTTAAAGAGGCCGGGGGATTTAAATAATTTAAATAATTTAATTCGGCCCAATTAAATTATTTAAATTATTTACATTATTTAAATTATTTAAATGCTCCCAAATCCAGGCTCCGGGCCGGAGTCGCCTGAGGCCGAATTTCCAACCATTTAAATTATTTAAATAATTTAAATAATTTAAATAATTTAAATAATTTAAATAATTTCATTCAGGCCAATTAAATTATTTAAATTATTTAAATTATTTAAATTATTTAAATTATTTAAATTATTTAAATTATTTAAATTATTTAAATAGGCCGGGGGATTTAAATAATTTAAATAATTTAATTCGGCCCAATTAAATTATTTAAATTATTTAAATTATTTAAATTATTTAAATTATTTAAATTATTTAAATTATTTAAATGCTCCCAAATCCAGGCTCCGGGCCGGAGTCGCCTGAGGCCGAATTTCCGACCATTTAAATTATTTAAATAATTTAAATAATTTAAATAATTTAATTCAGGCCAATTAAATTATTTGAATTATTTAAATTATTTAAATAGGCCGGGGGATTTAAATAATTTAAATAATTTAATTCGGCCCAATTAAATTATTTAAATTATTTAAATTATTTAAATTATTTAAATTATTTAAATTATTTAAATGCTCCCAAATCCAGGCATCGGGCCGGAGTCGCCTGAGGCCGAATTCCCGACCATTTAAATTATTTAAATAATTTAAATAATTTAAATAATTTAAATAGTTTAAATAATTTAATTCAGGCCAATTAAATTATTTAAATTATTTAAATTATTTAAATTATTTAAATTATTTAAAGAGGCCGGGGGATTTAAATAATTTAAATAATATAATTCGGCCCAATTAAATTATTTAAATTATTTAAATTATTTAAATTATTTAAATTATTTAAATGCTCCCAAATCCAGGCTCCGGGCCGGAGTCGCCTGAGGCCGAATTTCCGACCATTTAAATTATTTAAATAATTTAAATAATTTAAATAATTTAATTCAGGCCAATTAAATTATTTAAATTATTTAAATTATTTAAATTATTTAAATAGGCCGGGGGATTTAAATAATTTAAATAATTTAATTCGGCCCAATTAAATTATTTAAATTATTTAAATTATTTAAATTATTTAAATTATTTAAATGCTCCCAAATCCAGGCATCGGGCCGGAGTCGCCTGAGGCCGAATTTCCGACCATTTAAATTATTTAAATAATTTAAATAATTTAAATAATTTAATTCAGGCCAATTAAATTATTTAAATTATTTTTAAATTATTTAAAGAGGCCGGGGGATTTAAATAATTTAAATAATTTAATTCGGCCCAATTAAATTATTTAAATTATTTAAATTATTTAAATTATTTAAATGCTTCCAAATCCAAGCTCTGAGCCCGCAGACTCGCGGCTCGATTTGGCCAAATTTTGCCCGCAGACTGCCCGGCAAAATTTGGCCAAATCGAGCGGCGCCTTTCTGAAGGCCCGAAACTATATAAACTCTCGCGGCTCGATTTGGCCAAATTTTGCCCGGCAGCCTCCGGGCAAAATTTGGCCAAATCGAGCCGCGCCTTTCTGAAGGCCCGAAACTATATAAACTCTCGCGGCTCGATTTGGCCAAATTTTTCCCGGCAGCCTCCGGGCAAAATTTAGCCAAGTCGGGCTGCTCTTTGTACGCGATAAGGAATGCGCGGCTCGATTTGGCCAAATTTTGCCCGGAGGCAATTTTATTGCGCGTATTTAAATTATTTAAATTGTTTAAATGCTCCCAAGTCCAGGCTCTGGGCCGGAGTCGCCTGAGGCCGAATTTCCGACCATGTAACTTGTTTAAATTATTTAAATTATTTAAAGAGGCCGGGGGATTTAAATAATTTAATTCAATTCTGTACAATTAATTCAATTAATTTATTCTTTTTGTCACCTTTAATCATCTTCTAATCGGGTCATCGTTTGGATCTTATTTGGAAAGCATCCTTTGTCATAATCATATTCTATCGTTATCACCTTTTTGTTACCTTTTTGTTGTAATCTTTTATCATTTTTGTCATATTTTCATCATCTTTTATCATCTTTTAATCGGGTCATCGTTTGGATCTTATTTGGAAAGCATCCTTTATCCTAATCATATTCTATCGTTATCACATTTTTGTTATCTTTTTGTTGTAATCTTTTATCATTTTGTCATATTTTTATCATCTTTTATCATCTTTTAATCGGGTCATCGTTTGGATCTTGTTTGGAAAGCATCCTTTATCCTAATCATATTCTATCGTTATCACCTTTTGTTATCTTTTTGTTATAATCTTTTATCATCTTTTTTGTCATCTTTTTATCATCTTTTATCATCTTTTAATCGGGTCATCGTTTGGACTTTGTTTTTGAAAGCATTTTATCTTAATCATCTTCTATCGTTATCATCTTTTATCATCTTTTATCATCTTTTTGTCATCTTTTATCATCTTTTATCATCTTTCTGTCATCTTTTTGTAGTCGTTTATCATCTTTTTGTCATCTTTATTATATGTTTCCGTCTTATATCATTATGATTATGGGGTGAGCAAGGAGTCAAATCGCAAGCCCTGGTCCCTAAGATTTTCGGTTCAGCTTTTATGCCAAAGAGTTAAATCGCAAACCCAAACCAATTAAATCATTTAAATCCTACGGTCTAATTAAATTATTTAATTGAGGCGTCGGATTTAAATAATTTGATTGGCTCTGTGCTTGTCTGTACTCACCTCCCACCACAATTAAATTAATTTATACGATTTAAACGATTTAAACGATTTAATTGGGTCCAATTAAATCGTTTAAATCCTACGGTCTAATTAAATTATTTAATTGAGGCGTCGGATTTAAACGATTTAATTGGACCCAATTAAATCGTTTAAATCCTACGGTCTAACTAAATTATTTATTTGAGGCGTCGGATTTAAACGATTTAATTGGACCCAATTAAATCGTTTAAATCGTTTAAATCGTTTAAATTATTTAATTGTGGGGAAACTCAGCCAAGCCATAAACTAAATTATTTAGGTAGGGCTGGAGAGGCTGGAGGGGCTGGAGGAACTGGAGGAACCTGGAGGCTGAAGGGATGGGCTGGAGCTGGAGGGGCTGGAGGGGGCTGGAGGGGGCTGGAGGGGGCTGGAGGGGCTGGCTGGCTGGAGGGGCTGCTGCAAGGGCTGGAGGGGTTGGAGAGGCTAGAGGGGCTGGAGGAACTGGAAGAACTGGAGTGGCTGGAGGAACCTGGAGGCTGAAGGGGCGCCTGGAGGGGCTGGCTGGAGGGGCGGGCTGGAGGGGCTGGCTGGAGGGCTCTGCAGGGGCTGGAGGGGTTGGAGGGGCTGGAGGGGAGGGGCTGGAGGGCTTGTGCTTTAACCCCTCCTCTCCCCTCCCCTACCCCTCCCCAATTTTCCACCTCACTTCGCAGAGCGCCACCCCACGCACCGCGTCGCACCTGCAACCTGCTCCCCGACCCCATCACCCCCAACAAGCCCCCTTGCAACAATTTACTACACCCACACCACTCGCACCTAACCCCTCCTGCCCCTCCACTCCAAACTACCAACCTGAAGTTATCATAATTATGATGACTTCAACTTCCCCATCATAAGTTATCATAATTATGATAACTTTAGCTTCCCGATCTAAATTATCATAATTATGATAACTTCAAGTTCTTTATCTCAGAGTATGATAAATA